AAACCTTTTAAAAAGTTTATACTTTAAATAGAACAGATTGAACAAGACTCATAGTATGATGGCAAAGTTAAAAAAAAAAAAAAACCAAACCAATTAATAAATTAAAAAAAAAAAAAAAAACAACTCCCCCAAGAAAAGGAAAGGAGAAAATGTTTAAATTCTTTTTTTCTTTATTTTTCCCTTTTTAAATGGATATTTGAACTATATTTCTTTTATCCTAAATTACATAATCAAAGATAACTTTCTTCTATTTTTTAATGTACTTCCTTTACATATTATACGATTTGAATTTAAAATTTTTTATTTTTATTGAAAAAAAATTATCATTAAATAATTTAATTTCAATTATTAGTGATATTTGAATAATATTTAACTTGAGTAATTTCATTGATATTTGCGAACCATATATCCCAACGGTTCGGTAACATATAAATCTTCATTCAAGAGTGGTTAGTGCTTCCTGTGGAAATTATTTAATGATAGAGGGAATTCAAACTTTCATTTTCTAATATAATTCATATCATTTATTCCCACTTGAGGCAATCTTAATGGTTTTTTCAGCATTTCTCATGAGTAGGCTAACTTTCATTTATCTTAAAACAAAAAATGAAAAAAAGAGTAGGCTAAAAGAGCTGGTGACTAGCATGTGAAGCAAATCTAGGGGAGTGAATAAATGTATGTAGAATTAATTATCATTGACTTTTTGGTGCGTATATATATCAATCAGTATATGTGTAGCATCTTTTTGCCTTTTTCATTTAAGCACTGCTTGTAAATAGCAATCTACAAAAGTTTGATTAATTAAAGCTTAATTAGCGTCCTAAGATTTAACTCCGCACGCAAAGAATCTGTCTTTATCTAATCTTATTGAAAGAAAGGCATCTTTGGATCTCAAAGCTCCTTTAATGTGTAAATATTTTTACATTTTTTGCTCTGGTCCGCTTATGGCTGCAGCAAGCCAGCAACATTACAAGCGCAGTTGCTAAAACTATAAAATTGCTAGAATGTTAATAAACAAAAACTACTCTGGATAGGGTTGTTGCTACATATTAAATAATTAATGTAATATCCTTTTAATATAATTACTTATCATACACTTACATTACATTTTGTCTCAAAATTTTACATTTTTTATTTGTTTCTTAATAAATTAAAAAGTATAATAATTAATTAAGATAAAAATGTGCAATGGTTGCATCCGGCGCAAGTTGAATAAATCCTAAAAAAAAAAAAAAAAGCAGCCAATGAGGAGGGGTCTTTCCGAAAAGAAATCCATTTCTCGTGACCCATTTAGCCGAAAAAACCTTATCTTCTGCCCCTTGACTTGACTCTATTATTGCATATAAGATCCTAAATTATTTTTGCTGAAAATAAGCTCCTTTGAGTGGTTGAGATGAGCTAAAATGCAGAGAGTTACATGAGCGCCATGAGGTTAATGTTTGTCCCTCTCATGACACATATTTTTTGTAAGGAAAATAAGCCCCTATAACTCTTCAAGGTGAGTGTAAAACACAATGTCAATAGAGCTCGTCACATGATTGTTGTGAAGTTAGCATGTACAAATTACTTTGTTTAATTCCAATTTGCATTAAAAAGAGTGGAATTGGTAAGACTATATATAACCATGGTCTTATTGCTCCAAACGCATAGTGCAATATGTGTGAGAACCTTTTTGCTCTTTGCTTTTGTTGTTATTGTTATTGTTCTTATTATTATTTTTTTAGTTCTTGGTTAATGGGAAGACAAGAAGAAAAGAGAAAGGGCAATGATACAAATATATTTTTTAATTATTTATTTTTATATTATTTTCCTTTTTTTTTTTTTTTTCTTTTGAACATGGGGAATTTTGGGGGAAGGAGAGAAGTTTATAAGTAATTGATGGAAGTTCGACTTCCAACCACTAGAACCCAAGTTCTAAAGATTAGTGGTCAATCATTTGATTCATTGGGTTAGTTCATATTATTTTCCTTCTTAATATGCCAAGCAGGAATAAGATTTATTAAAACAATGACAGTTTAGATAATTAACGGTAAAATAAATGTTTATAATCTAATGCGCCGTTGGATAGGAAAATCTATGATGAGGTTAGTCACCTTAAATAGGAAAAAAAAAAAAAAGTTTGAGACCTTGTATAGAAAATAAGTCAAAGTTGGAAACCTAATCTCTTTGTTTTGCCTTCTAAAATAATTAATTTTTTTTTAATGTGGGGACAAGTGCACATATTAATACTTTTTCTCTTTTAAAATAATTTTGATTTTTACTTTAAATTTATGTTAAATTAATTGTTTTGTTTTTTATTTTTTTATTTTTTAAGGTAAATAAATACTTTTTTCCTACTTGAACCTTATTTTATTTATTTATATTAATTAATTATCCAATCACAAAAAATCTTTTTTAGTCTTTTAATTTTTTAAGGGTATTATAAATAAATATAAATATTATCTCTAAATTTTTAATTTCAAAAAAAGTAAAAAAATGACTGTTATTTTAAAATAGAAAGAGTTAAAATTTTGATGCCATGACGAATGGATGGATGCAGTGCAAGCATCGGAAAATAAGGAGATTTAGGCTTCATTTTAGAGTTTTTAACAAACCATTTTTGTACAATAGCTTACCTCAAAATATAAATTTTTAATTTTTAATTAATTAATATTTAATATATTTTTTGATAATAAAAAGACAAAAAAAATACTATTATAGAGCAACACAGTACAATACCAGTAAACCAAGCCTTAAAAGTGCCAAAGTTGATTAGCAATGTGAGCTCCAAAAGTTAAATTAAAATATATAATAACAAGCTAAAGTATATCTTGTAGTTAATGTCAATGAGGTCAATCTAGGGAGTGCATCCCTTAGAAATTCTAAAAATGAAATTAGTGTTTAAGGGTGCGTGAGCTAATCTAAACACAATTTAGTGGTAAAATAAAAAAGGAAGTATAGTTATAGATAAATTCATATATTACAAAGGTCTTTCGCAGTTATTTAGGGTCAACTTGGTTTGCAAATATTTATTTTCAAAAATCAATTTGGACATTTTACAATTGTTTGTTTGGATAACGCTTGAAAAATAAGTTTAGGAAAATTAAAATAAGTCAAGATTTTACACCAATTGTCTAAACACCCAATAAGATAAGCCCATTAATAAGTACGTTACAAATGAATGATTGGGAGAAAACAAAACGAGAAAAATGAGATTGTGAGAAACAAAACCAAGCTTCTAACTCAAGGTTTTACACAAATACTTACATTTATTATGAGGAAACATGTTCTCTTGCGATGAATGTAATTACATTTAGGTTTTTGTTAAGTTTAGCAATTTCTAAAGGCCTTCAAATGTGCCTTATGGATGTTTGCAATTACTTGTATAGATCTCTTAATGGTGATATTTACATGAAAGTTCTTGCTAGGCTTAAGATGCCTAAAGCATACAACTCAATGCCCTAAAAGATATTTTCAATAAAATTAAGACAGTCTTTGTATGGGTTGAAATAATTAGGGCGAATGTAATACAACTACCTTAATGAATATCTCCTAAGTTCTATCTCGCTTCACAAATTGAGCACTTATCAAATGAAATTTTTGTCCATCAATAAAATTATGTAGAAAAGATATTGAAGAGATTTAACATGGACAAAACTCATTCATTAAGCTCACTAATGGTTGTTCAATCTCTTGATATAAAGAAAGATCATTTTTGACCTTGTGAAGATAGCAAAGAAATCCTTAGTTCTGAAGTACCACATTTGAGTGTTATAATTGTATTAATGTATTTAACTAATAGTACACAACCTGATATTGCTCTTTTTGTAAATTTGTTAGCAAGATGTAGTTTTGCACCAACACAAAGACATTAGAATGACATTAAACATTTATTTTGTTATCTTCAAGAACAAGACATGGGATTATTTTATTTAAAAAACTCAAAACAAAAGTTAATTAGATATGTAGATACTAAATATTTGTCTGATCCACATAAAAGATGATTGCAAACTAAGTATTTGTTCACATATGACAATGCTATAATTTCTTGGCATTCAACTAAACAAACTATTATAGCCACATTCACAAATCACTCAGAATTAGTTGTACTATTTGAGTCAAGTTGACAATGTGTGTGGTTAAGATCTTTGATCTAGCATGTTTAAGAAGCATGTGACCTTACATCAATCACAAGAAATTTGGACTTAGTATATGAGGACAATACCACATGCATTACATAAATAAAGGAAGGATACATCAAAGGAGATAGAATCAAACATATTTCTCTGAAGTTTTTTTTTTTTTCTACACATAAACTCAAAAATGCTGATGAAATAAACGTCTAACAGATTAGTTTGAATGAGAATCTTGCACATCCTTTTACAAAATCATTGCTTACCAAAGTTTTTGAATGGATTGTAAACAAGACAAGCATGCGACACCTTAAAGAGTTTTGTTGAAATGAGAGGGAGCATTATATGTACTACACTCTTTTTCCCTTCACTATAGTTTTTATCCCGTTGGGTTTTTTCCAAGAAGGTTTTTAATAAGGCAATTTAAAGAGTGTATAACACAAAAAGGGTGAACACCTAAGGGGGAGTATTGTGAATTTTCCTATTGGTGAGTATTTCATCTTTACGTTCATCTTCTTCTATGTTATAACTCATTCTTACTAAAGGTCATTCAAAACCCTACTAAGGTATCATTCTTACTAAAGGTCATTCAAAACCCTACTAAGGTATCATTCATTCTCCTATTTAGTCTTTTCTTTTTTTTTATTAAACTCTCTGTATTCGATAACTACATTAGATTTTAATTAATTTGAAATCGAGCCACGTCGGAACCCATAAAGAAAAAACTCTTCTAACGTCTGTTTCTGCATTCATAAAACTCGAACTCGAAATCTTACTTAAGAAGAACCGAACTTTTTTCACTTAGACTAATAAATCGTTAGTATTTAGTTTTATTCAATAACCAATGTAACTCCTACATTTCTCTTAGCCTATATATAGACTTAAGTCTATAAGTTTGTATTTACATATGATGAAATATATGGTAAAATAAAAAATTCTCACTTTTGTTTTGTTATCTTTCTACATTTCTTTTTAATTTATAATAAACGAAAATAGATTTAGCAAAACTAACAAATAATTTTCTTGAAAGTTGTTTTCTACGCAAAAACACGCACTCTTTTATATCAAGTTAATTGGATAGCCCAACCCCTGTCCTTCCTCCTTCTCTTCTCACTGCTGTCAAGATTAATATAATTGTAGTTATTCTTCCTCCTTTTCTGCAAACTAATAACTAGGCTTGAAAACAAGGCAAAAAATTTTCCATAATGACTTTTCACTCTGTTGACATGAGAGCAATAATGGGCAAAAGGTACCATTTTGCCCCTGAACTTTTCGACTTGTAGGATTTTTGCCCTCCATATTAAAATACATGGATTTTTACCCTCAATGTTTTCGAGTTTGAGGAAATGAGGAAAAATTTAATGCCGGAGCTCACGTGTAGCACGTACACCGTTGGCCTCCGTCAAGTATGCGCATGTCAGCGCCAACTCAGAATTTTTTGACAACCTGGCATGCCAACTTGGAACCCCACGAGTGGGAAGTTTACCTGCTGCCAATTTTTTGTGGGTCCCACCGCTGACTAAAGGTTTGAAAAAAAAAGAAAGAGACAGATGAATGCCAGGAACCGTCCGACTCCGACCATTGTGTCAAGAACAAAGAAAAGCTTCTATTAACCCCACAACCCAGAAAAGGACCACAGAAGGAAACAACTTTACTCCACC